CGTATTGGGCGGGTTGAACTGAGCGACGAAGTTTTCTCTCCGTCTAAAAGTTCAAAGGGTCATCTAGGCATGGATCACATGAGAGAGGCGTCCGTTTTTGCCACGTTCCTAGAGGCAACACCTAGGCACACTCTTTCCTTCGTCAACACCGGTCCGATGCCACGTTTACGTGAACGATCCCAACCTTGTACCTTCCTTCCTGTCGTCACACGCTCTCCATTTCACCAAACCCTCGCCCAAGTCATCTTCTCCACCAGTCTACGCGCGATTACAGGCAGTGCAAGGACTGAGGTTATCGCCGGGAATAGATCACAACAGAGGTGAAACTGTGTTTCTGGCTAGGCTATGAAGTCGAATACCGACTACCGATACTCTCAGAGTTTTGAGTGTCAGCCTTTGGCTCATTCATTTGGCAACGAGAGCTTGAAGGATCCTCGTCTTCATACAATTGTAAAGCTTCAGAAAGTACTCCCTCGCTTAGGCACCCTCCTGCCTTACATCCTGCTGCACGATTTCGACGGATCCGAGTTATATTTATCCATCTGAGTTTTCCAAACGGACGATCGGTCGCGCTGGACTCTCTCCCGCTCTTCTTAGTTCATCTTTACTTACCTAGTAGTGAGCACATCAAAGGTTGTCTCGAAATCATGGAATCCAAGTTAGTGTGCAGATAGTAAAACAAATACTACTGCTCTACAGTAATCTTGAGACAGTGATGACAATTCCTGAGATGGTCGCACTTAAACTAGGACAAAGCGCTGAGATGTCACCGCAGCATCAAGACTATGCAGCCTCTCTACGTCTCTCCAATCATCCATTACAACCACTGAGACTTTCTCAAACCTCTGATCCGCCAGTCGTCGTCCAACAGCCCAGTATCGTGGCTTTGTTATGTCCTGGGGTTTACCATGGAACACCACAGGCGGAGCGCAAAGTAAAGTGTACATATCCTCGGGTATTGGGAAGTGGTGTGCAACACGAACTGTAAATGTGTATGCCGTCCCTGCCACATCTTTGACAACCAATTCTCCGGATCGATCCAGCCCATCTGCGGATACCACGTCCAATCCTCGCAGAAGCCCCCTTTCGATGTAAAACACATCAACCCAGTCCTCATCTTTCTCATCATCATACTGAACAAAACCAGAATAATTCAAAAATGTAGGCGGAGGCTCTGTCATGACCTGGTCCCATGTCGGTCTCCACTTCTTGCTTCCAAGTCCAATCCCAGGATACTGAAAGAAGAGCAACCCACGCTGCGTATGGCCTGTTGTGTTCACCAGTGCTATCCATGCCCCCTCAAGAGACCTGCTCTCATAGTAGGCAGGTATCACCCTGGGTATTGTTGCCAGCACCAGTCCAGCCACTCTGTCCACAGGATTGGTTGATACCCGATCCCGCATCGCCACCAGTACACTAAATATATCTGGGTTAGAGTGCAATGTCCCCAGCTTCTTGTGAAACCTTGTCAACACGGCTGTCTCATAGTTCCCATCATTATCTATTGGTTTTGCATGCATCGGTCCATTTGGAGTATCACCAGCAATGATCCTCTCAAATCCAACCTCCTGGACAGTCCAAGCACGTCGGAACCAACACCGATCGCTGTCCAAATCACCCTCTTTCAAACTCAACGGCAGTCCCAGTCCACTCATGTAGATCACCACCGAAGAAAACTGATAAATGACTCCAATTATGGGCACATCCAGTTTCCACTCCTCCATGCGCAGATCCTCCCTAACCTCCCCTTTCTGTCTCAAACAGAGGACATCCAGCCACATATACTCCATTCCCATATTCAGCATCTCGATCCGGATGAGATTGAGACTGACATCCTTTGGTATCGGCACAGGCCACTCCTTCCCATTGATAGGCGTCAACACATCGACACGATCCTTCTCATCAACCCAAGCATGTGAAATCAGGGTGAGAAGGAAGTCGGCGACCCAAAATGGAACCACACGATTGCTGAACAAGTCCCATACACGGCGAGGCCTAAGATCAGGATTGATGATCACGTTTCCTACTAGTGCTCTTTGTCGGTTCTCTCTGTCCTCTGTTTCACGTCTGCGGAGTTCATCTTGCATATTGCTATCCCTATGTGTATTCCAGACCCCACGGAGACGGCCATATACCATGCCAAAGTCGTAGTCCCTCTCTATGAATTCCTCGAGAAGAGATGAGAGAGACGGAGTGTCGAGAGTGTGTGACGTTCCTAGGATCTCATTCAGGCGATCCAAGACACCTTGAACACCAAGGGAAGCGCAGGGAGTATCGGCAAGGGAGGATGGAATGATGGGTTTTCGACCGCTATAACATCGTTGCTTCGGAACCTCAATGGATTCTTCCGCTTGGCTGGTCTCGGTGAACGCAGAGATGGTGATTCTGGGGAGAGTAATACCCTGGATATATATTATCAGTTTCAGCCCGGCTTATCTTGTCGACCGACTTACATGGTTAGCCTTATATCTCCAAGCATAGAAGCCGTCGTCGTCCGAACCACTGGTTGATTGCTCGTCAAAAAGGCCAAACCGAGGGCCTGTAATGAACGATTTGGGCAATAACTCTGGTTGCGTGTCCGACGAAGAATCAGGCGTCGTCTCCCGGACGGGTTCATCGTCCTCTGGCGTAGAACTGACATTCGCATGTACTCTCTCCCCTCGAGACTCCAAAGACCCGGTTGTGCTCATATCCTTGTCCAAAATGTAAGCCATGCTAATGGCCGAATCCTCTGTTGTCGGTGGAGTCGTCAAAACAGAGCACTAGCGTCTTCAAGTCAACTTGACGAAACTCGAGGGCGCTAACGTTCTCAGAGTAAGTGATTACTCAAAATGACCATAGATCAACTATACGCACTGTTTTCTATCTCGACGTCTTCGAGATGGTGTTCAAGAAAGCGTAGAAAAGAGGCTTCCGAGTTGATGTGGTCAAAGCCAGAATGGACCGACGTTACCCCAAGCACAGTAGCATGTATTGTGTGATCCCACGACGCAGTCGTCTGATATGATGGCCATTCATTTCCGAGTCGACTCTCGCCCATGATCACCGTACACTCCGAGATACTACTTCCGTTTTCTCGGCGCGAATCGAATATCTATTGCCGCCGCGTTCAAAGCACCAGTCACCGTTCTGGGCCCTACAATCAATGATCTTATGAATATGAATGAGTACATGATGCCAACAGCTTCCTAAATCCGCATGGTCGTTCTCTATTCTCGATTCCCGTATGGTTGTCGACGATCTAAGTGTTGGATTCAATGACAGCTTGAAGAAAGCACGAGAACATAAATAACATTGAGGACGCAGGAAGAGTCTCCTCGTCGCGGAATCTAGCAAGCAATGAATTTAGGGTTGGTCAAGAATCCTGCTCAACCCTGCTAAGAATGACGTATTGGATCGATACATTCACTATTAATCATTCTACCCGCCGCTAATCAACGGCCACTGATTGTTTCCCAGACACTGCAGCGCGTTGATGTGTACCTACATTCCAATATCAGCCTAGTCTCGGATTCTCGCCGTCGATAGTAATATACGCGATTCGACACCCCACAAATTGTTTGTTGCAGACGAAAAACTAGAAAATTCATTGTAATCCTACAGACAGAATATCTGCCTTTGCGCTTTGCCGAAGTAAACAAAGACAACGAACAATTTTTGTCGCTGGCGGACGGACTGATTTCACACAGCGCCCATCTCTTGGGAATTGTTAGGGAGGAACTGATGTGTGATTGTAAGGGATACAGATTTCCGTCGGTTACCTCCGTCATTCATTCTTTCACTTATATATCCCAACCGCTTTCGACCTTGTTGCATCTTAACCTTTTGTTGCGGCAATGCATTCGTGTCTTTGACCTAGCTCTACTCTTGAAATATACGCCCAGCATTGAATACCCAACGCATGGCAGATCTTTCACAGTGATACCGTGTTTTATGATCTCGGAGATACTTTTTAACTCCAATAATGGTGAGAATCAGGTGTGTGCAGAAAATCCATTCGAGGACCAAGACTCAGCCTAGTGGTTCCATTACGCCGGAGTTTGATATCAGAAAAGAACCGCGGCACAAGAATCAGAAGCTCACCTTTATGAGAGTACATTTTGCATTGGGGTTCTATGCCATTGTCGAGCGCAAGAAGTGGTAAACTTTGTACACCCAAAAGGACTGTTAAAATTATTAGGTATGCGTCGTCGAATAGTATAAGGAACTCACAGCTAGGGAATCTTCGAACCTCAAAGCTTCGTCTTCTCATCAGTAGTGTCCTTTGTCCTCGCATTGGGAGTATCGCAGTTCTCTTTCTTGGACGGCTAGATCTTGAAGATGATAACAGTACACTCAGGAATAGCGAGGGAAGAATCACCTTTGCCTAGGATCGTGAGAGTTAACCTTGCCGCCCAGACTAGCTTCGAAATGAAATGTAGTGGCATACTTGAGAGTAGAGGAGGAGGAGTCGGGCTCCGCGTGCCAAGACGGGGAGAGATCGAGAGTCTCGGGCAGAGTCAACGGCACCACCCCATTCCAGTGGGAGGATGAACGATACTTAAAACAAAAGCTGGTGTTGGAGATCCTGATAGACGCACGAATCCGGGAAAGGAAATGAGACAAGCGACACATGCACCGGGGATATAATTACGGAGCACAATCACATCTTATAAGTTCGAGGGAAGCTTTCACAACTCATCCTTGTTTGGGCACAGACCAAAGATCCTTCATTCTCTAACGCGAGGTGCGGAAATTCGTCTGCCCTCCAAGCCTGTGACGTAAAGACTGGACGATGTTTTGTATCCTTCATCGTGCGTAGCTGATATGTATTTCGCATCACCAAAGAAGATAGCAGGTGTGGTCGATGGTCGCCCATGCGGTTTAGCATCACAGCAGGTAGATACACATGGGTAAGCTCTTAAGATCTGTTTCTGTACCCAATTTATAACATCTCGCAGTCCATTTGACGTAAATAAAGTATGTGCACTACCTATAACAGAGCTAACACTGCAATATGAACGCCGATGGTGAAACGGTTATCATGCTTGCCTTCCATGGCAGTTGATGAATGCGAGCAAGCGGTAGTGGTTCGACTCCCCTTCGGCGTATGCATGGCTAAACCTGTACTTTTTGTCTACGGCGCACCGCACAGGCACAAACACCGACTCAGTGACCGCTTCGTACCACCTGCGTCTTGGATTACTCATTGCCTCGCCTTCCTTTGCAGCGTTCCCCTGAAAGATGAATTTCTGGAAGAGTAGGTGACGCATGATGGCATTATTGAAATTGTCGACATGCTTAGCATCCAGGCGAAACTGGCTTTGAAGGCATCGGATGTAGAAACAACGGTCCATACCTCTTTTCAAGTTGTTGGATGCCGCTTTGGTTCACTGGCCCATAGGTCTCGGATCCATTTTGGACCTTCCGTAAGGCATGGCAGCTGAAGGTGCTGCTTGTTCTATAATTTAGGCTCGGGATTAATGTTCTGATTTTCAGCTCTCGCAATTGCAAAGGAATTAAGTACAAGCACGCATGAACGACTTTCTTCCATTGAGTATAGTGGTGTCTACATGGAAGTTGCGTGTAAGACAGGAGTTATTATGAACGGTGACTGTAGTCAGGACGCATCGAAGTAGGAAATGATATATTGGGGGTTTACAGAGATATATGTAGCCGTAATTCGAGAGAAGTAGCCCGTATCATGCACCTAAACATGTACATGTCAATGATGTTGCCACTGCTGAATGCAGGGCTCGCTTACCTAGTAAAAGTATCAAGGTTATTCTCACGGAAGATCGTCTTCTATCACCAAACCACTGTAAACGTGGCGCATATAAATGTCCTCGAGCCAAACAGTGACATCGGGTATGGCATTGATGGCAGCCAGTCGCTCGTCGAACATTTGTACGGAGGTCTTGCCAACTGGGTGAATGTTCACGCGCTTCAAAAATCCACTCTCCAGCCGTGACTCGACGATATCAAGAATGAATTTTACATGGGGAAACCGAATGGTTTGGCCAAATCGCAGCGTTAGGGTATGTAGATGAGGAAACAACGAGGAAGGGGATTTCATCTTGGCAAGGAAAGCTCGGTTGAAATGAATGCAGCATTTAAGAGATTCGAGTGAAGGCGTAAGGGATAAAATAGCCTCTAGGTCGTCGTGGGTGCCGCACCAGTAGACATCCATTGCGCGGACCGAACATTCTGAATGGCGAAGGAAATCTAATACAGGAGATCCTCTGTGGTCGGAACGCATATTGGCAAACGGGTCACATTCGATTTTTAAAGACCGGAGATGATGCGCGGAGATACAGTCTAACGCACGGGTGTCTCCTATTATTTCAAGGTGTTCGAGTGCAGGCATCTCGATCCTCCCAAGAGTGCACTCGCCTTTCGAAGCACCCGTTACCAATTCCACCAGGCCTGAGCAGATATGCAGAACCTGACCGAGGACCGCCTTGTCGCCTACTATCACATGCAGTTTCTGCAATGATTGAAGTTGAGAAGAGGGGAGATGTACGAAATGGTTCAGAAGGTAAGGAGGACCTTTGATGTCTACGGACTGCCACCGATGGCAGTGCACAGCGAGAATAGCGCAGAGAGGCTGATAGTCGGAAGAGCGGATGACCTCACCACGCTGCAAAGAGAGAGGGAATGATATAGATATGATGAGAGGACAACTTCCGGAGCGCCGGAGTATTTCGGTAAGAATTTCTTTCCTTATTTCGTTAGCATTCTTCCGGGACACCAGGCTCCGATCTGAGAGTGGCGCGGCGTCCTTTCGAGTGTCGCGCATAAATGCCTTCGTTATAGTTATGGTCGACCAGAGGGATTTAGAAGAGTTGGCCATACTTCTCCATGCACTGTTGACATTCACAAGGACCCAGAGTCCATTGCAGAAATCAAACGACTGGACAGGGTCCTCGCGATCGGTGAGGTAGTGGCGAAAGATCTTTGAGAGAAGTTCTACGGGAAGTACAGATGACGGGTCCATGAATAGTACTGGCTGTCGAGTCAGTTCGCTGGAGGACTCATGATGTAAAGGACGCACCAGTGGCTCTTGAAAACAGTGGCTTTCGATGGTGGACGTTTGACGTGAAGCTTGAATGGCCCATCCGGGCCGCAGCCGGTTCTAATTTTGAAATTGCCGATAGCCCACGTGATAGCCACTTCTAAGAACGATTCGAGCAGTTGGTTCGTACATAGCCTCGTTCTGGTCTTTTACATCCTCCTAACTTCTCTGTTGAGATTCGGGCAAGCCGGCATCACTCGGTATGATTAGTAAGGGTGGAAAGAGCATGAAAGATGGAGAAGATACTAGATTAAGTAGTAGCTAGTATATATACAAGTAAATAATGGGCAGACTCCTTGCGAGTTTGTAACCCAGTAGTCAGGGAAGCTACGAGCATATACTTAGTAATTCCAACATTCTCTAATGGAGATACCTTTATAATTGTTGTATTATACTCAGTTGCAGACAGCAGCAAGACAGCAGCGACTTAGAGAAATGACGAGAACATGGTTAAGATGGGGGCTTAGTAGCCGGACACTAAGCAACGGTACCTTCTCACTCATTTACACAGCGGAAATTTAACATCGTACTAGGTCTACCATTCCGTACGTCTAATAATTCAAACCATCGAAAACTAGGTGTCCCGATCTACTTTCCAAATCTTTGTAGCAGACGTCACAATAACGCCCTTAACGTCAATGGTCGAGAGGTCAGGCGGGTTATCGGTCGTTTAACATATAGGAGCAGAGCGCGCCGGGTGCACACTTTCAATTCCATAACCGAATAGAGTCTGTAGGGTGGATTCGTAGCTTGTAATGGTACAGTGACTGTCGTTCCAGCCATCATGTCTGACTCTACTAGCATACTAATTTCGATTTGACAGCCCAAATTATTGCACCATCCATCTCCACCTATGCGACGACGCTGGAAATTTTTCTCTCCTCGGATTATTTACCGGTTGAATGCTATAAAATGCATCGAGAAACACCTGCAGTGATTCCCTCAGCAACTGCAACCACACTAGTCGTTATAATCCAACTCTCAAGATGTTCTTCGGTATTCTCGCTCTTCTTCCTTTCGTCTCCCTTGTTCTCTCGAGCTCTCGTATGGACCGTTCATTCAACGACTTCTGCGATGATATGGATACCCTCACTATGAAGGTTAAGCAAATGGAAAAGGACTGTGCTACCTTTCACGAGACACCCAGCGATTACAGTGCTTTCGTACGTTTCCTTCGTTCTTTCAATACTCTTCTTTCGTTCTGATGGTATGAACAGGTTGTTCTCTCGGACGCCGGAGCAGCCGATTCAGATATCAATGATGCCACTAACACCTGCCCAGTATGTTAAAACTTCCCACTGTTAAAACAATTCTTCATTCTGACGAATCCTTCCCAGACCACGGTTCTTTCAGAAGACCAGGGCAAGCTTGTCTTCGACATAATCACAGACTTGAAGCCTTCGCTCGTGAATGTCTGCGACTGCGTAATAAATTCGCGGGATCAAGTCGCTCAACTCGGCTTGACATCTGAGGCTGTCCCCGTTATCAAGTCAATCAAAGAGGACGGTAACACTTTAGTGGATAAAATTCTTAATTGTACTCCGGTATGTATCCTTGATCGTCATTCTATGAGCGGTATCGAGAATGATGGACATACAGGAAGAGTCTCGGGCCAACATGGAAGCGGCGCACGATGAGATTGTTAAAACCCTGCAGAAATTAGCCGAGGCATATAATGCAAATTAGAGCTAGGATCGACAGGATGATTTCTCCTGCGGAAATCCTCACCTAGCTAGCGAGTAGAATATATATCCGCACTTACGGTTACGATCTGAGAGCGGCGGGGTGTCCTTTCGGATGTCGCGCATAAATGTCTCTGTTATGGTTATGATCGACCAGAGTGATTTAGAGGAATTCGCTGTACTTCTCCATGCACTGCTGACATTCCCAAGGACCCAGAGTCCATCGCAGAAATCAAACGACTGGACAGGGTCCTCGCGATCGGTGAGGTAGTGGCGAAATATTTTTGAGAGAAGTTCTACGGGGAGTACAGATGATGGGTCCATGACTAGTACTGGCCGCCGAGTGAGTATATCGGAGAACGCATGATGTCAAGGACGCACCGCTGGCTTTTGAAAAGAGTGACATTTGATGGTGGATGTTTGAAGTAAAGCTTGAATGGCGCATCCGGGCCGCAGACTTTCCGCAGCCGGGTCTAATTTGGAAATTGCTGATAGCATCTCAGAAACGATTCGAGTAGTTGATTCGTACGTAGCCTCCTTCTGGTCCTTTATGCTCTTCGAACTACTTTACGGGAATTCGCAAATAACCTTTGTAATCAATTGGTTCACAGACACACAGCTCGGCGAAAGTGGAGGGAACACCCTTGAAGGAAAGTTAAGCATGCGTATAATCGGGGCTTAGCCGGACACTAAGCGACAGCATCTTCTGAAATGGATTCGAGCAGTAGATACGTGCTTAGCCTGCGTCTAGTCCATTATGTCCTTCCAACATCTCTGACAGAAACACGTCAATAATCGTGGTCCGAGAAATGGCCGTCCATTTCTATTCAATATTCAATGACCATTCATGTCAACAGCATTAATCCAACAGCTTAGTGGGACCGATACTCAGCACGTCTAATAACTAAAGCTATCCGAAGGTTAATGTCTTCTGGCCAGTCACCTCCAGATTCTTAGTAACAGACGTCACCAAGACATTCATGATCCGCGTAAAATAATTTTATTACAGCGTAGATGTTCGAGAGGTCAGACGGGTCCCAGAGTATGTCCGCTGCAATTTTCCTACCAAATGGAGTCTGTAAGGCAGATTTGCAGCTTGTAATAGTACATTAACTATCGTTCCAGCCATCGTGTCCGACTAATAGCATACCAATTTCCATTTGACAGCCTAAATGATCGCACCATCTCTGTCCGTCTATTATGTGATTGTGACGACGCTGAAGCTCTTCTCTCATCGGCGCATCTACCGGTCGAATGCTATAAAACGCATCGAGAAACACCCGTACTCATTCCCTCAGCAACTTCACTCACCGTCGTCGTACAAACCAAAGCTCAAGATGTTTCTTCGCATTCT